TTTTTAAATAAATAAATAAGTAATAAAAAGAGAAGGTGGAAGGAAGCGTGCCACACTGTGTCCACCTGTTGCCTCAGGTAGGCGTGGTGAGTAACATCTTGCATCCATCGGACTATTGCATTACCACTCGCAGATGTCAGTTTTGTCATTTTTTTTATAACCAGCCCAAGTAGAAACGAGAGGGGAGCAACAAATCAGGCTTCGCTGAGCAATATGGCTCTTCCGGCTTTGTGTTCAGAACAGCTTTGCTGGGTAGGGCAGAAGTCCCCAGGAAAGCCCTCAGCCCCCACAGGTGATCCAAACCACTGGATGGTCCTGGGCAAGTGACTATCCCCCGTCAGGCCCGGTGTCCATCCACGGCAGAATGGAACTGTTAGGTTTCTGGGGTCGTTCACCTCTCGGTTCTTGCTTCGCACCACTGAGAAGAATTCACGCGGCAGAAGCAGTTGTGTCGATCCCAGTAACTTTCATGAGGGCAAGGGAAGTTTCAGGTATGACAGTCTCAGAAAGGACACGCTATCTCTGGAAAGTGGGGGAGGCAGCGTGGTGCGGGCCGTGGGAAAGTTGGCGACTGAAAATGGTCCCCCTAAGCCACTTCCGGGGAGCGCTGAAAAACACATGGAAAGAGGACCTGAACAGGAGAGGGGAACCAGCGTGAGGGACCAGGAGCAGGAAATCCCAAGAGAGCAAGCTACCCCGGCGAGGCTGCACACGTGGAAAGTGGGGGGTAGGGGGTGGAATCTCAGCCACAGACCTGCAAGAGGGCACGTAAACCACAGAGTGAATGACCTGCACTGAGTCAGGTGTTTAAACCCTCCTATCCCCACTGGCTGGAGAGGTGTGGTTGAGGGTTTTGGCCCATCTTACTGGCTGAGCTTAGGCCCCCCTGAGTTGAGGCAATATTGCTGATGCCTACTGTAGCTGTGGCATTAAGGTGACTCTGAGGCAGAAGACCTCTTTAGAGTATGGAAAAGCAAGGGTGTTCCTTTGAGGACTAAGCCGTCGTCTTTTCAATAGGCTCATAAGCACGGGAAGAGTTGGACGCTGAAGAAGGAAGATGGTGCGTTTGAATTGTGGTGCTGGAGAAGAAGGCTGAAAGTACCACGGACTGGTAAAAGGAAAAACTGATCTGTCTTGGAAGAAGTACGGCCAGAGTGTCCCTCCGAGGCAAGGATAGGACTTCATCTTACATATTTCGGACAGGCTGTCAGGAGAAACCAGTCCCTGGAGAAGGACATCGTGCTTGGTAGAGTCGAGTCAGGGGAGGAGGGTAAAGCCCTCGGTAAATGGTCCGACGGCTTCCACCGGCGCCTCGGTGGCCTGGGTCTGCGCATGCTCTGGCCTGGATTTTCCCACCCCTTTATTGTGGCAGGGCTAGCTACTTTTGGTTTAGCAGGTAGGCATTCGGTGGAAACCACCTCCCTTCATCCCTAATCTAGCTACTTTTCAGAACTGCTGTTGGCACCGTGTAATACTATGTTACTTTCCATCCCTACCCCGGAGAAAGTGACCAGATTCGAAGGCAGGCAGGCTGTCAGACCCTGCACCACCAGGAGCCAACTGCCTGCACCCTGTCCCCCTTGGCTGGTGACTTCCCCCTCCCGCCCTGCTTATGCAGCTGTGGGATG